AATTGCTGGACCTCACATATTGCGAAATGCAGGAAATGACTTAGAATTATTTGAAATAATAATTTGGATAGAAGAAGGGCATTAGTTCTCACACTGCTAATGAAGACACACACAGGACTGTGTAACTTATAAAGGAAAGGGGTTTAATTGACTCACAGTTCCACAGGGCTGGAAGGCCTCAAAATCAGGATGGAAAGCAAAGGGGAAGTAAGACAGGTCTTACTTGGCAGCAGGCAAGAGAGCGTTGTGCAGGGTCACTCTAATCTGTAAAACCATCAGATCTTGTGAGACTTACCTGCTGCCACGAGAGCAGTATGGGGGAAACCATCCCCATAATTCACTTATCTCCACCTGGCCCTGCCCTTGACACATGGGGATTACTGCAATTCAAAGGGAGATTTGAGTGGGGACACGGCCAAACCGTATCAGCAAGTTTAGGAATCAAAATTGATAAAAAAATAAACTAATGTGAGTAGAAAGCTAAAGGTAATACTGAAGATTAAGAAAAATAAATGGGGCAGGGGTGGTGGCTCATGCCTGTAAACCTAGCACTTTGGGAGGCCAAGGTGGGCAGATCATCTGAAATCGGGAGTTTGAGACCAACCTGACCAACATGGAGAAACCTCGTCTCTACTAAAAATAAATAAATAAATAAATAAATAATTACCCAGGTATAATGGTGCATACCTGTAATCCCAGCCACTCGGGAGACTGAGGCAGGAGAATCACTTGAACCCAGGAGGCGGAGGTTATGGTAAGCCGAGATCCAGCCATGGTTTTGGTGAAGGTTAAAATTGAGAGCTAAATTCAAGATGAACCCCATGCCACCAATTTCTGCTCCTTAGGTTTGTTTTAGATGTCAAGGGCTGTGTTAAGAGAGACAAGAGTTGAATATGCATTGAGTAGGCATATTTTGTAGATAACAAAGGAGAAATGTGAGAACATTAAGATATTAAAATATGAGAAGAATATTGAACTAAAAACCATTCTGACTCTGCCTAGGCTTCCATTAGTGCGGCGTTTAGAGACTAGGCAGGTAGGTAAACTCAAATTCTATGGGTGTGACACATTAAGAATCCATAGGTCGGGTGCAGTGGCTCACGCCTGTAATCTCAGCACTTTGGGAGGCTGTTGAAATGGGCAGATCACTTGAAGTCAGTTCAAGGCCAGCTTGGCCAACATGGTAAAACCCCATCTCTACCAAAAATCACAAAATTTAGCCAGGTGTAGTGGCAGGCACCTGCAATCCCAGCTACTCAGGAGGCTGAGACAGGAGAATTCTTTCAACCCAAGAGGCAGAAGTTGCAGTCAGCCGAGATCATGCCACTGCATTCCAGCCTGGGCAACAGAGAGAGACTCTGTTTAAAAGAAAAAAAAAAAAAAAAAAGAATCCATACAGTGCCATCACTAGTATCCAATATGTCTCTGGTATCATCATGAAAAAACCCCATCCTCCACAAGAAGACGGACTCCAACTGCCTATTCTAGTATTTGAACACTTTCTCCGAATTGTCCTCTACACAAGCAAGATACAAGATTTTCCCTTCATATCAATGTCTTCCACTTAAATAGCCCACTACTGCCATCCATCTCAGGCTGCTCTTCCTCGGATATGCACGGGCATCATCACTCTTTTTGTCACAATGTTTATACAACAGATCTCTTACAGTACCAGGCGCAGGTTTCTTAAGCACAGTGGAGTACAGAAGTGCATCTCAATCAGCCAAAGCACACTGGTGCCCTTCTCCTCGTGACCACGCACCACCTCATCATCCTTACCATCATGCACCTCTAATTTTCTCTTCTGTCTCCACTATTCCTAGGACATTCAATCAGTGGTTCTGAAATTCTTAAATAATCATGTGGGTGCTTACACAAACGGCACTGAACAGTACCATGGAGAATGCATGTACTCAATGGCAGCTTTCTGAAGAAACATGCTCCATATACCTGCAGTTTCCTAGGCCCATCTCAAAAAAAAAAAAAAAAAAAAAAAAAAAAAAAAANAAAAAAAAAAAAAAACAAAAAAAACTTTTTTAAGCAAAAGGCATAATGTTAAAATATAAACCATTGATAACATGATTTTGGAGACAAGACAGATTGACTATATATTTTAGTTAACCCTATCCAAGAATGCTGCATTCTGCTCATCTAACTCATTTCAACAGAACACACTATCTTGAAGAATGAATGAATGTATTCTTCAAATATCAACTATGTTAGCTCTGTTTTTGTCAAGAATTAGAAAGCAACAAGGTTAAAGTTTCAGTCAAGCCTATAGTTAACACAAATCGATTGCACATTTCAAAACAGCTAGAATAATTTGAATGTTCCTAGTGTAAATAGAAGATAAATATTTAAGGAGATGAATATCCCAATTACCCTGTTTTGATTATATGAATTTATCAAACTATCTATCACATGTACTCCAAAAACACGTTCATCTACTATGTATCAATAAAAAATAAATTTAAAAATAAAAAACTTAAAATATTCTGTGTGGCTGAAAAATGACCAATTTATTTTTAATAGAAAACATGCAGACAGAAAAACTATCATGAAAATTTAAATATGTGAACAGAGGGTAGGAATTTTAAAAAGGTAATTTTTCTTAGAACTTTATGAAGTTCAAGAAAAATACCCTAAAACCAATATAAAGAATAGCAGGCACTGTACGCAGCAGTTCACCCACAATATCATGTTTGAATCTCGCCACAGCCATAAAGCAGTAATAACATGCCTAGTTATCATTCCAATTCTTCCTGTTGCAAGTAACAGAAAACCAGACCCCACCTGGCTGAAGCCAGTAAATGAAGAGACTAACAGGAGGGTCATGCTCAGGGCTCAAATACGTCACCAGGACATGGATTGCATCCTAGTCTCAGCTCTGCTAATTCCTGTAAAACCCTCCTTCCGAGGTTCACGGGGTAGCTGACACAGCTTCCGGCTCTCACCTCATGATGACAAGCAAGACAACAATACAGCCACCACTTCATGACTGTTCTCATTTCTACACTCAGGAGAATGAGAGAAATTTTCCAGTAGCACCCATAAAAACACTGAGTCCACCTGGCTGGCCTGGCTAGACATATGGCCAGCCCTGATTAAGTTGCTGTGGACAGGGGCCTGGATTTTCTGCTTCACTTAGACCAGTCATACGTCCCATCCCAGGACTGAAGAAATGCCAGGGCTGTTGCTGGAGAGTGGCTACTGTCCCCTTTACAAATAAGGAGCTCATGGTTTAGGAAGATGAGCTTGCCAGAAATCAGACACTTGTAAAATAAGTCAAAATTTCAACTTAGGTCTACTTAACTGAGCCCAAAGTATTACAACCAATTATGGCTGTTATCCTAGCACCCACGTCGGAGAACGGAGGAGCCCGAAGACTGCAAAGGACCCTTCCTTTTCTTCTAGATCCATCACCGATTGGAATATAAATCAATGTTACAATATTGAAGAAATCTGATTATGTGGAAAAAAAATCATTATGAATTTTCATAGTCTGTTTTTACAAACTTCAAAACAGGAATGGTCAGTTTAGAAAAATTCATTTCCACTAAGAAAAAAATAGAATCTTAAGTGGAGTTTAAAATTATCCTGTTTCATAGATATGTCATTTTTTCCAAATTTGTTTTTTAATGTCCTTAATGATTAATGATCAATTTCCAGTCTAAGTTGGTTGGTAATTTCTTGAGACCTTGCTTTCAGAGAAGTTTTGTTTTTTGTGTTTGTTTTTCAAAAAAGATTACTTGCATTTGTATATTTTCTCTGTACTTTCAGCCAAATTTCTTCTAATTAAAGTATAACATAAGTTGAACCAACACAATAAAGTAATGTCATTTTAAGACAAGAAAAAACAAACTTCTACTGATTTCTGCTTCTGGCCATGAAGGAGTGTGAGGGACCAGATTTAAGTTCTTAAACAACTACAAAAACCAGGCCAAAAAATACAGGTTTCCAGGCACTGGACGACAGGGAGTGCAGGGCTGCGATCCTTAAGAGAAGGGAAGCAGCCGGTCAGGGGTTTCCAGGCCACAACCCAGATGGAGGCCAGCAGAGGATGCAGGCTGAGGGCTCCAGGGGCCAACACGCAATCCGAGGGAAGCCCTTCCGTGGAGAGCTGGAGCTCTGGGGCGGCCCTCCCGAGCAGGTGCAGCGAGGAAACACCCGAGGCCGCGGTGAGCCACACGGGGGAGGAAGAACAGCCCGAGCTCACGGGAGCGGGGACGAGTTCCAGCTCCAGACAGCCCCGGGGAGCAACAGCGCAGCATTCGGGGCGTCAGGTAAAGCGCCCCAAGGCTCCGCTCGGGAGCGTGAACGCCACCGCCCGCTGCAAGCCTGGAAAGGAACGTGTTTCTCACGTCACTGCGACGTGTCACACACGCGGTCTGTCACGTAGGTAGCAGGAAAAAGCCAGCAGGCCACGCAGGGCGCACCGGGCCTGCAACCAAACGCAAACGGCCAGGCCCACGAAGCAGGACACGCAAAGGGATCCGGAGAGGGGCCAGGAGTCACCGACTACGCCAGGCCGCCGGGCCCACGCGGGGGTGGGGGCCGCGCTTCCGCGAGCCAGGACGCCTGAGCAGCGCTGGGGAATCCAGGGATCCCCCAGGAAACTGCCCTCGACTAACGGCACCGCAAAGGGGCCGCGCGCTCGAGACCCTGGAGCGAGAACGACCACAGTCACGCGGGGAAACAGCCGGGGCGCAGGCCCAGGTGGACGGGCGGCTGAGGAGCGGGGCTGCGCCCACAAAGCCGCCAGGGGCTGCGAACTACAGCGCGGCAGGCGCGGGGCTTGGCCGGCACCACACGGGACCCGGGCGCCTGCACGCCCCTGCGCGTCACCCAGCGGCTCCCGAACGCCCGCCACGCGATCCCCAAAGACGCCCGCGGCGCAAGCCTCGAAGGGCACGCACCTGCGTCGGGACGCTGACGCCATGGGCGGGGCGGGGCGGGGCGGGGCAGGTGAGCCTGCGCAGTGTGGGCCGGGCGGGGCTGGCGAGCATGCGCAGTGTGGGCCGGGCGGGGCTGGCGAGGGAGCGCGTGTGGAGCGGGCGCAGAGGCGGGCGTTGCTATGGCGACGGCCAGCGGCCGCGGAGTTGCCAGAGGGAGCTGGGGCGGACGTCCCTGGGTCCCCGTGTTCCCAGCAGAGTCGAGGCATGCGGAGGCTTGGAGGCGGGGGCGGAAAGGAGGGCGGCCCGCGAGGCGGGCGGGGTGCGTGGATGCGGGGTGGGGGCCGCTCGCAGCCCCGCTTTCGCCTCCTCCGAGCCGGGCCGGCGTGGGCCGGGGCTGTGAGGCGAGGCCGGGTCCCGCCGCAGCATGGCCTCCTCGGGGTCCGGTCGGTTCCCACAGCTCCTCCTACCTGAGGGGCGCGAACTCACGGCGGCCTAAAGCCTTAGAGCAGTGATCTCACGGCGGTGATTTTAGAACCCGGTGGGACCCGCCGCCATCAGGGGCCGCAGGTGCGGGGTGGTGTCCGCCCCCGGGAACGGGGGCCTCTCACCCGCGCTTCTGGCGGGAGTAGACTCCCAGGAAAAGGCCAGCGGCGTTCACAAGGCAGGAGATAACGCCAGGACCCTGCGTGGAATTGCATCTTTACGCCTTGGGCCTGGGTCTCGGGTGTTTTTATGGAGAGTGTTTAGTAAGCTGTGGTCACCTGCTTTGGCACCCCAGTGGTCGTTTCTGCCACCAAGCCCTGCCTCTTGAGGTTTAATACTGGGATTTACAAAGCAACGTGTTCCTGGCATCTTAGCTTTCAGTACTGCGCAAAGGTTACGTGTCGAACCCTACCAGTGCCACAGACTCGTATATTCACTCACCTGGTATTTGGTTTTCTCATGTATAAACTGGAGTTGGACTAGATACTTGAAGTATTTTCAGTATCTTTAAAATCTGAATTTTAAACTCTGGAACATAATACCATAGGACTTTAAAAGAGTACAGGTTTTAAAAGCTCTTACCTTGATATTAATGACAGTGGCCTACCGTGTGGAAACGAGACTAAATTGCAGACTGCAGATATGACTGGACCGTATGATGCAAACTGTATCTTCTGCCAGGTTATGGGCGTTTTGGAAACAGGAACTGAAAAATCTGGCAGTGATCTTTCAGTATTTTAAATTCTTTCCACCGTTTCTCCAAGTTCAGTTGTCTGGATGACATATGGGGTGAAACTTCTTTCAAACATCTCGATGCCAGAATTGATGGGGGAACAGGAAAGGGTCGCAGTAAGAACCATCACCAAAGCCTCTGCAGGACTTGAGCAGCGACTGACGTTTTTACCCCTAACCCTGGATATCTCAGATTTGGCTGTGCTTTTACACCTTAGTGAGTTTGTTCTTTCAGTTGGAATAACTTAATACAAGTGTTAGTCTTTAGAAATGTAGTTTGGATTAATTTCTTTTTTTTTTTTTTTTTTTTGAGACGGAGTTTCGCTCTTGTTACCCAGGCTGGAGTGCAATGGCGCGACCTCGGCTCACCGCAACCTCCACCTCCTGGGTTCAGGCATTCTCCTGCCTCAGCCTCCTGAGTCGCTGGGATTACAGGCACGCGCCACCAGGCCCAGCTAATTTTTTGTATTTTTAGTAGAGACGGAGTTTCACCATGTTGACCAGGATGGTCTCGATCTCTTGACCTCGTGATCCACCCGCCTTGGCCTCCCAAAGTGCTGGGATTACGGGCTTGAGCCACCGCCCCCGGCCTTGGATTAATTTCTATTTTTACAGTTAGGCCCTCAATATAGTAAGTCCTCACTTAACCTCATCCGTAGGTTCTTGGAAACTGGGGCTTTAAGCCATGCAGTGTATAAGGAAACCAGTTTCATCAAAGGCTAATTGATAGAAAGAAGAGGTAAGTTCCTACAGCACATTCCTGGTCACAAAAACATCACCAAACTTCTAAATAACGACCAAAGCATTTCTGTATGAAACATTGAAATACATGTGAGCTCTACATACACTGAAGAAAGTAAGATCATTATCCAATTTCTGGTGACTCAGTGAGTGACAGGATCGTGGAGGTGCTGCCTTAAATCAAGGATAATGTTGGCCTAGCCAAAGTTCTGAAGCGCCTCCTCCCGCTATGCAGTTTTGAAACAAACCAATTCTCAGTTGACTGCTTTCCTGCTGCACCGGGTGTTGTCCTGCATCTGTGTGATTACCGTATGCTTTACGAATTTCTATTTGATGATAATTTGTATCCTTCCATTCATTTTCCAACCCGTTTATTCCAGTTCAGGGTGGCAGGGAGCCGAGCCCATCCGGGCAGCTTAGGACCAAGGCAGGGAACAGGGCTGGAGAGGAGGGCACCCCATGGCGGGGCACGCTCACTCAAACACTCAGACAGGGACAGGCCAGTGAGCCTCATGTGCATGGCTTTGAGTTGTGGGAGGAATCCGGGATACCTGGAGAAAACCCACAGCGCGTGGAGAGAATGTGTAAACTCCACACAGACAGTGGCACCTGCTGGGGACCAGTTTTTTTTCTCATCAACGTTGTAACCGAAACATTAGAAGAAACAATGTTATTCCAGGGCCTGCTATGCCAGTTCCTAGATTACTTGAATAAATTTCTCCTCAGTGTATTTTGAACACGTCTGTCTTCATAAAATATACCATGTCCAAAATCTAAAAGGGCCAATTCCAAATTATTCTTTTGAAGGGAAATTAGCTTTGAAGGGAATTGAAGCAAGTATAACAAGAATCTGTTCTGTGTGAAAAGACCTATTTTAGATACTTCAAAGGTCATCTCATTAATCCTCACGGCAATGCTGCAAAGCCAGCACAATTGCACCTGGTTTATAGATGAGGAGCCTGGGGCTCAGTTGTGGTAAGTATCTTGGGCAGCAATGTGGTAGCGTTCAACTGGAACTCAGGTTGATCTCTCCACATATTCTGTATGTCAGTGTTTTGGACAGACTGAAGTTAGCCAGTGTTCCTCTTGCGTTCCAGTTTCTTCATTGTTCCCTTTCTCCCCAAAATAAGCATACCATGCTGATTTCCAGCCTGCCAGTGCTTTCCTCCTACCTGTAGTGTGACATGTTCATTTTCCTCTGTGTAGCTTTCAAATGCCACTTTAACTGTTACCTCTTTAGGAGGTTTTTCCTTTACAAGTCTCCAGTGCTAGCCTGAAATTTTACAGTACTTATCTGTCATATATTAATGGATTGATTAATAGTAACCACTTGTATTAATGTGTTCTCAACAGCTCAGGAGTGAACTATTTGAGGATAGGGATGAGTCGAAGTGTAACTGATTTGAGTTCACCCCCTTCCTCCAGAACCAGAATGTGTTGCTTAGTGCCACCCTATAGCAGGCATTCCCACTGCTGCATTATCAGTTAGACCGTTCCACAGATCGTTCTCACAGACTTCATAAAAGGTTTTGATGTGCACTGTAACTCTGACTTTCTGTTGACCATGTTTTTCAGCAGAAGAATAAAAGGAATATGATATGATGTGATGATAGAATTTGTGATAGCCAGGCAACAACTTCTCATTCGGCATGTTAAAACATAAGGTATCCTATTTTTTCTTAAACATACACATTATTTGACTCATGAAATATATTTTAATTCAGCTGTTTGAGAGTATAAAAAATAGTTTGCAAACACTGCTTGAACTAGGAATTATTACCAGGAATGGGCAATGCCAAGCGTGACATGGGGCAGTAGACAGGTTGATGGGAAAAACAGTCTCTGGTGATATTTACTGCAAGCATCTCTTAGCTGTTTGGTGATTTTTTTATTCTGCATAGGAAATTACTCAGTTTTCACAGAAAGGCATAAACTGAAATGCAAGAGTCTATTTAGTAGTTGCCTGGAGTCTGACGGGTTTGTTTAGGCACGCACAGGTTTATAGGTCATAATGAATTTATGCATATTATAATTAAGTCTTAGTAATTAGGTGAAAAGATATTCCTGTATTGTTAACATAAATGCGGAGACAAGGGTCTGCTACCACTTAGGTAACAATGAGTCAAGCATTCCTTGCTATTTGATTTGGTCATATATGCCATCAAGGTTGAGTACTGAAACCTTGTAATAGCTTCTAAATGATATATTACATAATATTCCTCTAAATATGACTTATTTCTTACTTTGTAGGGTCACTCATCTAAGAAAAATAACTTGGCAATCAATGCAGTTGCTTTACAAGATCACATTTTACATGATCTTCAGCTTCGAAACCTTTCAGTTGCAGATCATTCTAAGACACAAGTACAAAAGAAAGAGAACAAATCTCTAAAAAGAGATGCAAAGGCAATAATAGATACTGGACTTAAAAAAACTACACAGTGCCCCAAACTAGAAGATTCAGAAAAAGAATATGTTCTTGATCCCAAACCGCCACCATTGACTTTGGGTAAGCGGATGTAGTCATTCATCTTTTGACTTATTAGAGCTTCTGAATCTGTTGAGGTCAATAGTATAATTTTTTATGTTACAGAAATAATTTATCTCAGTTTATAATTATACAGAAAAGTGTGTATGTATTGAAGGTATGTGCGTGTTGAAACTTGAAAATGATAGGGGATCATTAGAGCAAGAAACTAAAGACAGTAATGGTAAGTAGAATAGTAAGTAAAAATGGGAGAACAAAAGAAATACCTGTTGATTCAGATTGATAAAAATAAATTTGAGTAAATCAATGATGGAAAAGAAAAGTCCCTTATAGTAGAATGACTATAACTCATGGAGATAATAGACAGGAGATAGAAAATCACCTTTGGCAAATATTACAGTAATTGTCATCATTGCCGAAATTAGAAATAAGAAAAATTATGTCCAGACACAGAATATTGAGGTAGCCTCACAGTTTCTTCATAGATGCAAGTACACAACAGGGAGAAAAACAGTGACTTCACAGTATTTCAACCGTACATGGTAGCACTTGGCAAGCAGCACCTGAACCAAGTAATGCCAGTTAGCTCAGCAGTAATGCACAGGCCAGCATCATGTGCCTCCTGCTGAAAGATGCAATGCCACTTCTGTGGCATTCTTAGCAAAATGCATATCTAAATTTAATCATGAGGAAACCTCAGACCAGCCCAAGTGAAAGACTTCCACACAGTTCCTGGCTGGTACTCTTCAAAAGTGTCAAATCAACAGAAGCAAACGGAGACCTAGAAAAACTGTTCCAGATTATAGGAGACTAAAGGAACATGGCAGCTGCAAGTGCAATTTGTGACCCTGGATCAGATCCTAGTCCAGAAAAAAAGACAACAGTGTGACAGAGAATCATATCTGCAGAAGGATGCAGGCTAATTGATAGATGATATCAACATTAATTTTGTGGTTTTGATCTTTGTACCAGGGTTATATAAAAGGTTACCATTTGGGGTTAAGAACATAGGATAATTATTTTCTTTTTACAAGTGTGAATATTTATTTAGAATGAGACCAAAACTTGCAACAAATTAGGAATTTCAAAAAAGATGAAAAATATCCCAAACAAAAATCAATAAAAATAGCATAATATTTTATATTAATTCACTTACTGAAATATCTCTATAATACTTTTTCCATCTCTTTTGATTGCTAGGCACTCTTTAATATATTTTCATGTGACAATAATTCTGTAATGGCATTTTCTATGGAAATAAGTCAGTTTTACCTCCATCATAGCTGATTGAAATTCTTTCCTTATAATAGGTGGGATACACAGCATGCAGCTTCACACAACTTCTTACTATGTATAGTATTGCCACAGGTTTGTGCCTATAAATAAAGGCATGTAAATCAATTCCATTTCTTCTAATTAATAAAGGAAAGGAAGTGTGTTATGAACTTAATTGTAAATGCTGTATTTAAGTATATTAGTTTCCCGGTGCAGCTGCAACAAATTAGTACAAACTGGGTGGCTTAAAAGAAAAGAAATGTATTCTCTCACTGTCCTGGAGGCCAGAAGTCCAAAGTGGCGCTGTTGGCAGGGTTCCACAGGAGAACCCTTCCTTACCTTTCCCTGGTGCTTCCTGGCATTGCTTGGCTTGTGGCAGCTTCACTCCGGTCTCTGCCTCTGATGTCACACGACCTTCTTCTCTATGTGTGATTGTGCCCTCCCTCTCCTCTTCTTATAAGGATACCATTCATTCGATGTAGGGCCGACTTTAAACCAGTATGACCTCATCTTAACTACATCTGCAAAGACCCTCTTTCCAAATAAGGCCAACATTCTGAGGTTTCAGGTGAACATGCATGTTGAGGTGACACTATTCAACCCAGTACATCAAGTATGTCGGTGATGGGGAGAACTTCGGTCTAGATTAGGCATCAGTGAGACGGAATCCTTCACTTACATTTGTTGTGTGGAAGACTTTTTCACAGCCTCAGTCTAAGTACATACTTTGTTTCTTATCCACTACTCACATGTATTACTGTGGTGATAGGCATCAGAGGTCCAGTTGACAGCTCAATGTGGCTAGGCTATGGTTTGAATGTTTGTCCCCTTCAAAGCTCATGTTGAAATTTCAATTTGTTTTGTTTTGTTTTTAGACAGTCTCCCTCTGTTGCCTAGGCTGGAGTGCAGTGGCACGATCTCACTGCAACCTCTGCCTTCCAGGTTCAAGTGAATCTCGTGCCTCAGCCTCCCAAATAGCTGGAATTACAGGTGTGTGCCACCACACTCAGATAATTTTTGTATTTTTAGTAGAGACCGGGTTTCACCATGTTGGCCAGCCTGGTCTCAAACTCCTGGCTTCAGGTAATCCACCCAACTCAGCTTCCCAAAGTGGTGGGATTACAGGCATGAGCCACCACACCTGGCCTGTTTTTGTTTGTTTGTTTGCTTGCTTGCTTTTTGTGTGTCTTCTTTTTTATTTATTTTTATTTCAGTAGCTTTTGTGGTACAAGTGGGTTTTGGTTACATGGATGAATTACATAGTGGTGAATTCTGAGATTTCAGTGCACCTATCACTGGAATAATATACCTTGTACCTAACGTGCAGCTTTTTTTTTAATCCCACACCCCTTTCACCCTTCCACTTTGAGTCTCTAATGTCCATTTTACCACTCTGTACGCCTTCGCATACCCATAGCTTAGCTTCCACTCATAAGTGAGAACATACAACATGAGTTACTTCACTTGGAATAATGACCTCCAGCTTTATCCACGTTGCTGCAAAAGACATTTTTTCATTCATTTTTGTGGCTGAGTAGTATTTCATGGTGTATATATATCACATCTTCTTTATCCATGGGCACTTAGGTTGGTTCCATATCTTTGCAATTGTGAATTGGGCTGCAATTTGTGTGTATGTGTCTTTTTCATATAATGACTTCTTTTCCTTTGGGTAGACACACAGTCATGGGATTGCTGGATCGAGGGATAGATCTACTTGTAGTTCTTTTTTTTTTTTTTTTTTTTTAAAGGTAATCAGTTATTTAATTAGATCATCAGGACATTTAAAATACCAATTTGTGAGGATAAATTCCATTTGTTAGGGCAAACACAGATCGCAGGTAGCCCGGGAGCTGAGGAATAGCTTTGATTTTTGGTAAAATTTGTGAGTCCACAGCTTTCTGATCAATCTTGCGCTGCTCTGTAATCTTGTATTTCTCTTTTTCTGTGTCGAAGATCTCACCTTCCTGGTGTCTGGGCTTCCACAACTTCTTCTTCTTGAAGTAAGCATCAGTAAGATGTTTTGGGATTTTTACATTGCTGATACCGATTTTGGTTGAGGTGGCAATGACAAATTTCTGGTGCGTTCTTCGCAGAGGAACTCGATTGAGGACCAGAGGTCCAGTCACAAGTAACAAGCCACTAGCCAGCTGCTTCAGGAAAACCACCCTCTTGCCCCTGTGGCGTCCAGTGAGGATGATCAGAGTGGTCCCGGGGGTGATGCTGGCTCGCAGTTTTCTCACGTGCTGACTGAAGGGTTTTTGCCGTGGCTCAACAGCTTTCGAGGCACATCTTCAGTAGGATAATACCTAGGCATTTTGCGAAGTTTAACCACCCGGGTACCGCCGTTTTTGTCACCACCACATTTTGTAACAGTTGCAAGAACCTTCTCCTTCTTTTTCTTTTCAATCTTGGATTTAGCCGCTGAGTACTTCCTCTTGTACACGGCCTTTCTGGAATACATGGCAGATCGGGAATACCTGCCGATTCCTCTGACAAGAACAGGATTGCGGCTGCAATGGGGCTTCCCCTTCTTGGGCTTTTTAGCCTTGAGGTTACCCTTTTTCACTTTGCTACCAGCATCAGCCTTCTTGGCTTCAGGTTTCTTCTCTTTAGTATCCGGCTTCTCAACTTTTTCACCTGCCATCTTGCAAGATGGGAAAGAGCTCTACTTGTAGTTCTTCAAGGAATCGTCATACTGTTTTCCATAGAGATTGTACTAATTTACATTCCCACCAGCAGTGTATAAGCGTTTGCCTTTCACCACATCAACAGCAACATCTGTTGTTTTTAACTTTTTAGTAATGGGCATTCTTGCAGGAATAAGGTGGTATCTCATTGTGGTTTTAATTTGCATTTCCCTCATGACTGGTGTTGTGCATTTTTTTTTTTTTTTTTTTTTTTTTTTTTT